TCAGGACGTTGAAATTTTATATATAGGTCTGTTATAACATGTAGTTGTGCTCCCCCCTTTTTGATTGCAATCGGCCGCACTCCACTCTGTTACTCAGCTCAGTGAGCTTAGAATTTTTATTCTTATATGTTGGCAAGTTGGGCATTTTTTGCTTTAAGAATGATTGAATTACGTTGCTCATATCTTCCGGTTAAGGTTTTTATGCCTTTAGTTAATCTGCATGTAGTAATTGTAGAATTATCAACAATTTAAAAGTTGTTAAGCGTAGTGGGCTAATTTAAGGGGGGCGGAACACCATAGCAGCTATATTTGTTTACATTTGAACCTTGAGTGTCTCTTTTTAAGTGGGGCCAAAAGTTTGCCGAGTTGGGAAACTTTTAGTTTTGTGCACCGAAAAATCTGCCTTCTTGCCTGCTGGCCGAATAATTGTTTGTTTTTGCATGTAAATTGTAACTTTAATTGTAACAAATGTTTTTTTAATTGCTTTAAGTATATTCGGTATTTTATGTTTATTTTTACATTTTTCACGTTTTAATGAAGATATTTTGAGTTTTTATGTATTTTGGCCTCGCCGCGAAGTCCGATCTGAATTATTTGAATGAGAAATATATCTCCAAATGAAATACGAGGAAATAAATTTAAATGAAAGGCAGGAAAAAATGCCTATAATTTAATATTCCGTACAAGGAAGTCATATGTTGTACACATCAGATTTTGTTTTTATTGTCCCTCTGAAACACTGAAATATTTGATGCATGGAATAAGAATTATATTTCAGCATAAAATATTTAAAAAGATTAAAAATTTAGAAGCTAAGCATACTGAGCTGTTTGTCAGTAGTTAATGAAATACTGTTTTTATATTTTAAAGGGATTCAATACTTTTTTCTTCCACATATACTCGTCCGAGTTCTATTAAAATGCTCCGTCTCCTGCCAAATATCTTTCAAAATTCTTTTCATAAAATCCCATATTTTTTTGATCGAGTTTATATGAGATCACAGGATAAGACTGTACGAATCCTTGTAAGAACTTTTCCAACATCACGAAATTAAGAAATTTATTATTGATCTCCCATGATTTTACTTTTTTACTTAAATTAGATGACGTTTAAACATTTTTTCCCTGTCGATCATTAGTTTTGAGTTTTTAATACAGTTGACAGTTCCCCTGCTTCACAAATATAAATGTAGAAGAGGAAAAATTGTTTTCTGTCAAAATATTTGATAAATTTTCAGTTAGTTTTTAAAATATTTGCATATGATAAAGTTCCACTCTGTCAGAATTGGCATACTAAAAATTCTTTCTTCTGATCGTGCGTGTTGTGTCATTTTAGTAGTAGTAATTAGTCATCAGGAAACAGCAGAGACATACATTGCTTACTTAGTTTTAAAGAAATAAAAAGTGAAAAGAGTTACCATTGCTTAAAAATATCATAAAATACCGTTTTTTTTTAATTTTTGTAGTAAGTATTAATTTGAAAGAATATCCGAAATTTCTAGCCAGCTTCTACGAAGGAAAATTTTATAGTGTCAATGCTTATAATTTAATCTACTAAATGCTGAAGTTTAAATATTAACCTCACAAGTCGCCCCCTCCTCTTTTCAGGTTTAAGAGTCTCTTATAATTTAATTTTTAATTATTTGAATTTTTAAATAGTAGATGATCTTTTGTTTCTTTTTCTTTCTCTTTTCCCCCTTCCTTGCAGAGAATATGCTAACTACAGATTTAGAGATTTATTTGGAGGGGAGGGAGAGACTTTTCCTTATAACACAATTATGAACATATTTCCGGAAAGTGTTTTCAACAAAAGCATTCTTCCTCAGATGCAATCGTCGCTTACTTTACCATTAATAAATTTTGGGAGAATGGAGGACTTTAAAAGGTCGTCTTTGTATCATATGACTTAAATTAGATTATCGAATAGGACAAAGTCTGCCTGATTTGGGAAAGATGCATTTGTGAAAATCATTTTAGGGGTAAATGGATCATATTCTAGTTTCGGTGTGGTAAAACAATGAGAACTTAGTGCAGCCAACCTGTTAACTCGTTGGTACTGAACCTTTCTTCATCTCAGAGCTGCTTTAAATGTTCATAGTTGTCTTCATTCAGTTTGCAATTGGTAGGCTCAAAACTGGGGAAAAAATCATTTTGATTGTTCTTAAAATAAGCGATAACTGCTCATAAATTTTTAATTTAACAAGAGATAAATTATCTGTAATTCAGATAATAACATATTTATTCGCATCTTAGATTTGTGGTAGTATTTAGTAAAACTAAATTAAGAAGTTTTTAAGCAAATGTCTGAGTAAACGACAGCATCTTTAAAATTATCTTATCCATTATCCGATTTCCTAGTGATGTTATTCTGCAAATTTAAAATTTAACATAACTTTTTCTTAAAATCGTTTATTTATCTCTTCAACGTTAAAAAAAATTCTAAACTTTATATATTTCGAACAAAAACAAAGCAATTAAAAAAATACTTTTAAGAAACAAGCATTTAAAAGCATTGCACAACTAAATGTTCCCATGTACATTAGAGAGTCTGGAGTATGTAAATTATGGTAGTAGACAGTCTGTAACAGATAGTCTTTGTACTGATTGTTAGACGTGCTAAGACTCCAGGTGTAAGATAACGTTAAGAGATCTATAATTCAAAGTGTCAGAGACCATGACCGAAGACGCTGGTATTCCTGTTTCGCTCAAGGATAAGACGAGTGATGTATATTGTCATTTAAAACACATTACTTTCTAATTGCATTAATTTGTAGAGTTTGTAATAGAATAGCGAAAGCTTCATTTTTTGCATTTCAAGGAAAGTCAGACACTTTAAGTTAGAAAATTTTTACTTCTGATGATAAAAGTTTTGTAACACATTTTACGTGGCTGTAATTATGAGCTTATATATTTATGAGCGCATTTTCTGGGTGAGAAGATAGTTCAAGAGAGCCTGATATCTTTTCAACATTTTTTAAAGATTTCGAAGGATATCAGTGGCATTCGTTGAAAATCTAATAAAAAAGCTATGCATTTTTCGGGAACCATGTCGTTTTATTCTTTTAAGTTTGGAAAAAGTTCCGAAGTGGCTGAAGCAGCAGAGCACTAATATATCGAACAGCGACCGAGTGGACTGGCTGTAGGTAACTTGCGTTATTTGCCGATTTTTATTTATTTATGCACTTTTAGTCCAAAGGCGCTTTGTCCCTGAAGGACTATTGTTTTCGCTTTTCGATTTTGAGTCGATTCACTGCAAACGGTGAATCACTTTTCACACTGTTGCCACCAAATGTTAGAGTCCTGCATTATATTTGAAGAAATGAAATAATGAAAAATTTGCATAAATGTATGTATATTTCTCGCATTGTGATAAAACAACGGTACAAAGAGCCATCGAATTTTGAATGACGTAATCCTCTTGCGAATATGGGCATGAAGACCAAATTTGAAATTTGGAATTTGTTTTATGACCGATTTCCTATTTTATAAAACTTTTACGAATTTTTGATTAACAAACTCAAGGATTTCAAAGCGAGCAATGGCAACGTTGAGCAGAAAAAAACATTTTTATCTCCAGTGCGCGAGTCTCTATATCGGAAATTCTAAAGATATGCTTATTTTAAAACTATTTTGTGATATTTCTGTTGAATTGAATTTTATGGTTTAAGTGCGTAGAACGGGATATTTAATAAATAAATTTAACACACAAAATGTTAAAAAATGTCCCTTTGGACGTAATTTAAAATCTAAAGCCTTTCAGATTTTTTTAATTATACTTTAATATATTTTGTTATTATTTTACGCGCACACCCAAACGCAGTGTGCGTACGTTGTGCGTGTTTTGTATCTGAATAATGGTTTCTTTTATTTACTTCTGTATAATGTCTTAAGATTAATCTGGAAATTTCAAATAATGAATATTGTAATGCGTCTTTACTATTGTGTAAATTTCTGAAGCATTTTATTGCGATACTGATTCTGTGTGCGTTAAGGGGGGAACACTGGCCCTCTCCCTGTCGATATATATCTTTTGATATCAAAGTCTTATTTAGATGTATCTGGGATATCTTTAATTTAGAATTATAATGACTTAATGCTTCATTCGATTGGAGTAGTGTTATTTCTATGTCTCATTCGGTTTTGACTGCAAAATTTCATGTAGAAACAGCACTGTTAAATACAAAAATTTTCCACCCCTACGTAAATATATGAAAATTATAGTAGTGTGACTGTTTAGACCGCAGTGTAGCAAACCACATGTTCTAGCAACAATTAAGAAGGTTTGAAGATTTTTATACCCAGTGGCATCACAGTGTTGTGAGCCAAGTTTCAAAATCCTGAAATATGCATGGCATTCCTAAAATTATTTTGATTCTATATAAAATTCTTTGTAACATTCGTGTTACTAATGGAAATAAATACGCTTTACATTTCTCAACTACTGTTTTCTAAACACTCAAGATCCATTCTTAAAAAAATATGCTTAACTGGTGATCAAAAACATAACTGTAACCAATCAGTTTTGTAAAAAGCTAAGTCTTTCACTTCAGCAAACTGTAAACACTATGGTAAAAAAAATTTTTTTTAAACTACAAAATATTTAAATTTTATAAAAAGACCGATGCCATCCAGGGCAACGATGAGATTCATCTCTATCAAATTATATGGAAAGAGCATGCACTGCATTTAAAGTATTGTAAAACTTCACTGTTGTAAAATAATAACATAAACAATTCTCGTTCGCAACGGCCTATCATAGGTGCTTGCGAGAGATAAAAACTCATCGAGTACTTTTTTTTTTGGCTTCTTCTCTTGATAAATTCAAAGATAAGTTGTCCGAGATACTCTTTAATAGAATAATCTGAAGCTTATTTTGAATCCTTACAAGAAGTTTCGTTCGTTTTTAAGGTGTTCTTTATGTCTACAGTTTAATATAATGTTGTTATTTTATTTTAATTTGTGTAACAGGAATTTTTGAGTAATCTATTTTCTTTTTCCTAGGTGGTAGCTGGTTGTGAAGCTCCAACATCAAACTATGAACTGGTATGTAAAATTCGTTCAATTTGTCTTCCTTGCTAAAAAAAGAAGAAATATGCTTTTCATATTTTTCCTTCCTTCCTTTTTTTTTTTTTTTTTTTTTTTTTTTTTTGTAGTACTTACGTAATTCGTAAAGCTACTTGTATTTCAAAATAATCGTTAGAAAGTTCATACTGTCATAAAGAAATACTAAATAATAATCTCTAACATTTTTTATTGTACGTGTGGCCCTTGTGTGCGAATGCCCTTTTGGGCTAATTAATAAGCAGAAGCGCAATGTGAACATGAATATATGTGAATCAATATTGCTTTTGTTCGAAGTATTTTTTTATGTGATCCCTTGTTGAGCCCTTATACGGAAAGGGAGGGATGGTCAGTGGAAACTTTGCTGCTTCGTATACACGTTACACATAGTGAAAACCACGGGGGGGGGGGGAAAGAAAACGCCCGTGCAAGCCCGTTCGCCGGTTGCTTATGAACACCAATCAGCAGACATTTTGCCCCGCAGTGTGACCTTCTAAGCTAAAACAGCTACTGATGTAAAATAACTTTCGAAAGAAAATTGTTACTTCTTTGAAAGTAACAGCAATTTTAGATAATTAACTTACTTATTTAGTTAATGTTGTATTGTATAATTTTGTGACCGAAACAACATAGACAGAAATTCCGCGTCATTCGCACTTACTGAACATGATGTTCATTGTGTTAACTTTCAGTCTAGAGAATAAATGGGGCAGATAGCGTGTGATTGCTTTGCCTTAATAAATGACCTACCTGAATAAGTAAATGGTGATAAGATAAGAGCGTAGTTATAGGGGAAATTTAATTTGTGAGAGACGACTGAAATTCTTCCAGGTAAATAAAATAAATTAATTGCATGCATTGCTTAACCCCTTCGCGCCGACTGTCACGTATACGTGCCAGCAACGAACGCACTTACCTACCGGCCGACACGCAGGCGTGCCAGAGGATTGTTCCATTCTCTACCGACTGTCACGTATTTGTGACAGTACTTTGGAACGTTTTTCAAACTATAATTTCTGCCACAAGATGGCACTGTATGTCCATATGGTTTCAGATACATGTAAATTAGACCTTCTACTCGAAATGAGAGAAGCATGACTCACATACACGTGTTTTTGATTATATAAACAAACGGGAATAAATGTTTCCGAATGGCGTGATTTATGACGTCTCTTAAATCGCACTTTTTCGCACGTGGTAGTGTTTACTGTAAGTAGAGAAGTTTTATTTGCTCTAAGCGTTGGGTATTTCGGTTTGCAGTTCAGTTTTTAGAAAATAATTAGATCTTGTTAGACGTGAATTCTTTGTTTTTTACCGTTCGATGTCGAAGCGTCGAAAAATGTTTAACAGAGCATGAAATAGCAGAAATGATGCAAAATATTTCAGATATTGATTCTGAAATTCTGATATTCTGATATTGATTCTGAAAGATTAACTGAAAGACATTTTTCCAAAACTTTGTTCAGAAGAGACTGATAAGAAAATGAGACGGCGATGCTTCGTTTTGTTCACATTCCCGGAAAAATCCTCCAAAACGGCAAATGAGTTATTACGAGTGCAAGGAATGTAACGTAGGACTGTGTGTAGATCCCTGTTTTCAAAAATTTTTCATACGAAAAGAAAATTTTAAGTAACATATTTAGTTTCAGATGTATAATGTTAAAATTCATCAAATGGTGAGTAATTAAAATAAAATGTGTAAAATATGCATTTAAACAAGAAATAAGGTAATTAAAGTATATATATAAAAATAAAAGCATAAGCCGTTTAAATACTCTATAGAGCATTATTAAACAATGCGTTGATACTTCGGAAATTTCATGGATTTAGGCTTAGTAGCAAAAAAGCCCCCGGCCCTGGAGAGACGTTCGCGTAAGACACTGCCGGCCTCAACAACGGATAAGCGCGCGTTTTCGCTACCCGGCTCGAAGGGGTTGCTTAAAATGCTGTTAACTTGGATATCGGAAATTTAACTTACAGTTCTTGACAGTAAGCAAATTATGTCTGTTTGCTTCAAGGATTTGTTTTACAAAATTCATTACGATAAGATCTACATGTATGTCTGTGAACAAAATTTTTCTTCATAATTTTTCATGTGACACAAATAATGATGCTTTTTTCCACGCCAATGAATCTTGAGACCGTTACGGTTTTAACTAAAGCGTCATTGCTTAAAAAACAAACACAAAAATGCTCTTCCCGAGGCAATCTGCAACTCATCACCTACGCGTAGGCTCCGGATCTTCAAAATTTAGCGACTCCTTTCGCTTTAAGAGTGTGTGTATGTAGGTTATACGGGGCCAAACTGTGTGGGCACTATCAGCATTTATTTCCTTTTTTATTATTATTTTTAATTTTTGTTTTTCGGCAGTGCTTTTTTTTTTTTTTTTTTTTGTGCATGCGGCGAAGGGATTTGTCACACCCTAAAAATAAATCGCTTACGTGAAGCGTAGAAATTGAAGCGTTGGAACGCGGTTGGGCAGTATTTCATTCGCAAATAGAGCACGGAAAAATAAGTGCTTTGAAAATCCGGATCGTAATGTCCGTTTATTTATATTATGGGAAAGTATTTCAAATATAATTCGTTTTAAAATAAGAATTGGACTAGAAAGAGACAAATCAAAATTGCGTATTTATTGCATAAGAATTTCGTCAAACTTCGTAAATTTTCTAAAAGTAATATCTGCAGTTCATCGCACTGTTATTTCAAAAAATGGTGAAGCAAAAACTTCATATCACTTTAGAATTAATTTCTTTCTCTGCATTCTGTGTGTAGTAAATTTATATGCTAAATTCGGAATAAAATAAATTTAATTAATCCAGTATTAAGATTAATTGCCATTCCCTAAACTTTCCTCGTAAAGTGTTGGCAGGTATAGTAATTAAAATGGCTGCTGCAGTAACTCCTGTGCTAATTTATTACAAATTATTCAGGTTTGGCCTTTTTTTAATAGTTAGCTCTCCGAATTTCTGTTGTAGTTAGAATTTCACTTTTTTTATATACTGTTTATTCATTAGCATGTAACTAAGGAAAACTAATAATTAATAAGGCAAAGGAAAATTTCCGTAAATTTTTTATCGTTTACTAATTCAAAAATACTCTTATCTGTTTCAAATGCTTTCCTTTACTGAATTCATATACTGAATGTCAAAAAATCTAAAATTAAATCTCCAAAATCCTGTTAATTAGCATATTTTTAATTTAATTTTTTTAAATTTCCGTAGTTAATATTTTCAAGGAACTTAAAAGAAATATTGAGATTTTTTTTTAATTATTAGCAATATAATAACTAAGTTATTATTTAGATAATTTATTATATAGGTAACAATAATAAAAAGATACTAATGATTACAATTATTATTTATTACGGTTCTCATGAGACAAGTGAGGCAGTAGCCTCAGGTGAACAGCTAGAAAGAACGTCAGATTAGCTACGAAAATTTAAAAAATCATTTTTAAAAAGAAATTAATTAAAAAGATTTTGACTTCCAACTTTGCAACACATCAAGAAATATCGAAAGAATTGTGTGTTATAAACTGTTCTGTTAGACTGAAAGAAAAATTAATTAATTAATTGTAAAAATGCTGAGGTTTCACATTACTGCAATATGCGTACTGCTTTCTAAACGTTAAAATTTACTGTTGGAACTAATGTACTAATGTTAACTTAATCTTGTTTATACTAGTATAAACTAAACTGCATAAGAAGCACTGTGCCGACATTAGTAATTTTTTATTACTTTACTTTAATTCGAATAAGAGCTCTTATTCCGTGGTAACAAGCTTTTCAAAGTCCTCTAAATGAGCACGGAGTAAACAATGCCCACAGTTCGTTGCAGCAGACCTGACGCATAAATGTATCGAGAGACTAAATGAGAATGCTTGAAAATGAAATGCGTTGTATTATCTCAGGGTTCCTAACGAACTTGGTATTGACCGACTAGGAGTCGAAACTTTAAAAGGGGTCATTGTTAATCACGGTGCCAAATGAGAGTCGATTACCCAATATGCACCGGCAACTGATCGGCATATATCAAGATTCTATAGATTCCCCCCTCAAAGAAATATGTATTAAAAATTGATAATTAATTGTTCATAAAGTTATATCATGAAGTCATATAAAATAAACATAAGGCAAAAATACATAAAAGAAAATCTAATGATTTAAAAAAATTAATAATATTTTTTTTAATAAATGCTCTTTTGTGCAGTAAGTGCAAAGTAAGGAAAGGAAAACGCAGGAACACAAGAAAACACAGCCCAAAAATACGAAGACCTCAGAGGTTCCTCGCAAGATATATTGTGATATATAAAACCGTATCTGAAATTGCTTCCAAGACATTCGAATTTACAACGTGACAGCGTAGCTCATAGAATCGCTGACTTAAGATGTATTCGATCTTAGTTGAGTACACTGAAGGAGGATGTTCAAGCTCAAATCCTTTTCAAAACACATGAATACACTAAGCTTGGGACTTAAAAACTCAACAGAGAAAAATATCCCCCCCAAAAAAAAAAGCGGTTGCCAAACCAACATTAATTACTTTTCCCTTTTCTTACCTACCGGAAATACGCTTTAGTCAATAATTTGCTACGGAAAACAAGAAACAAGTTTAAATATTTTTAAACGAGGTGACTAAATTAAATTTCATGCCAAATATTAAAAAAAACCCCACCTCTACCATTATATTAACGCAGCCATCATATTTATTAAATAAAATTTTGTGCAATTAGAATCTGCGATTTTCTGTCTAAAAACTTGTGTATATTTATAAAATAAAAAATATTAAAACACAATAACATCTAACAGTTATTGTGTTTTTTTAAAACTTTTTTTAGTTCATATTCTTAGGTTAATTAAGTTACTATATGCAATAATTTGTATGATGATTATGGTTGCTGTGTATTAGAAAGAAAAATGTAAGGATGTCGATAAAGAAAATCATCATTTTAAAAAGGATCGGTGCAAGAAATGATTGAG